TAGTGACGAGGAACAGGCGGTAGTCGGAACAGAGAGCCAACAATCGTTCCCCGTTTTCCGAACGACAAGAATCTAGTCCGAAAGGACCATCCGGGTGCGTCTCACTCGAAGCCAGCCGACCTACCCTAGCATTCATATCTCTTGTTCAAATCACGATATCAGCCTGACTTGCTTTATGCAAAAGGTCGTGTAGGCTATGATAAAGTTCATCTTTGACTGCATCTGGGCTGCAGTCCGTCGGGCGTACGCCGATACAACAAACAGGTTTCTTCTATCGGGGCGACGGCTGTTTACTTTGCACGAACCTAGAAGCTAGAAGCTATGAAAATGAACCAATGAAAACGATTGTTCTCTTCTGAACGTGTTTCCCATTTCATACTGGGTATATTCTTGAATCCAAAGATAAAGGGCATAAAGAGGTTGATCTTTAAGTTTCTCTTCTTTTGTTTCATTATAAATTACCTCCTGCTTAGCTTCAACAGCAATGTTTCTAAACCTTTTCTATGAGTTTGCAGCACACATGGCTTCACTTCTCATCCGGTTGTTTGTGTTAACTTGGGTCCTGTTGCTGCTTACAGCAGTTCCTTACCTGATAATGGAGCTGCTTTATTAGGGAAACTAACATGCGTTTGGTTGATTAGAATTTGTTCAAATCTATGATTGTGCGATTCCAGAGCAAGCCCGGTATAAGCGTATGCACATCAAACTTGATTGACCTTCACCTGAACACTTCTCTCTCCCTCCCTCATTTTGCTTTCATACGATTTGAGGTCAACCGAGGGTGTGATGTTTTGCTCCACAGTTCATTCCATCCACTTTTTCAACTGCCCACAAACAATAAATTATCGTATAGACTGTTTTCTTGTTTGGCCTACACTGATTTCAAGTTCGACCCAGTTAACAACTACTCGAGTTATGAAATTGCGATATACCACACTTTCCTGTGATCATAGTTATTGCAAAAAATCAATTCTTTGTGGAATGGAATGTGTTGATAAATTCTGTCATCAATATAATGTCCCAAATAGAAAACTCAGGTTATTTCATTTTGTACTTCTGTTCACCTGGACCTATCTATATCCGTTGTTATTTTCACATACCCGTCTTGACTACTCTCCTCCGTTATTAGTCCCGATCATTTGAAAAAAGATATCAGAATCTCATCAGAATCAGAACACAGATCGTAAGCGAATGTGTTTTCAGTGGGTTCCTTCCCAAGCCAATACAATCGCAGTGATTTTAAAAACATAGCGAGAGGGTTTTATGTTGGGATTGGACAGTCGAGGTCCAATAATTATAGCAAAGGATTCGGGCAGGGGCACGTTTGTCTCCAGTTTTTTGGTTAAAATAATGACGGGTTACATAGATGTTGATAATTAATTTTAGTCATTACAACGCTCATGCTTGATGTTGTCCGCTTAGATTCAGCTTGCTATCGATGATGTCTCGATCGGGGCCCTCTACATAGAAGTATCTTGATACGAGTACTACAAACAGACTGGTGAATTCTCCTTAGTAGACCCGATAAAGGAGCTGGCATCGTAGTACCGAGAGGTTCAAACACACAGCCGCGGTCCACTTAAACGTCAGCATATAAGTGTTTCGAGGGAACTCAGGAAGAACAAAAATATCAAACTGCTCAAACCAGATGAAGGCACCGGAGTGGTTGTCATGACCAAGGACGATTATGTTCGAAGGCTTCCTGAGATAACTTCGGATGGTCAAAAGTTCTCAAAATGCAACAAAGGAAAAGACGAAACCGAAAACGTAGAGGGAGATATCACGGATTTACTGAAAGTACTAACGATACAAGAGTATATAGACCATACAACATTTGAAAACGTGAAACCATGTGGATACACTATTCCACGATTATATGGACTTCCAAAGATTGACAAAGAAAGAGTTCCAGTTCGATCCATTATGGTAATGGTGAATTCACTATATCACGCAACGGCACAATGATTGGTGGAACTATTAGAACCCATCCGTCGTAAACTCGCCACGCACAGTCTCCGAGACAACTTTCAATTTGTAGCAAACATAAAATGTATAGATTTGAAACACAAGACGACGTTTTTCTTGAATATCGCTTCACTGTTCACGAATGTACTACTGCGACAGGCAGTGGAACTCACCTATGATCACATAGGAACTCTAGGTGTCGATGTTGGTATCTCGGTCACAAACCTGAAGGAACTGTTATTACACTTAACGTCCAGTTTCCATTTAATGGTACTATCTATCGTCAGATGGACCACGTCGCTATGGGATCCTGACTCGGTCCGTTGCTAGCTGACTTTTTGTGGCTAAAACAGAAAGCGATACATTGAGTTCAACTACTTCGGGATTAGCGCACCACAGTAGGTATATGGATGATATCTTCTGTGTAACCGATCGATAAAATGACATCCTACAGATACTGGAATTGTTCAACGGAGCTCATCAATCAATGAACTTCACCGTAGAGGTGAAGGCGAACAACACGTTGCCCTTTCTGGATACAGTCATGTCCATAAGAGAGGATGGATCAGTAAGAAGACGGATCCACAAAAAGAAATATGGAATGGTCAATATACCAACTTCCATAGTGTCATTCCTGTCAAGTACATACGTAATTTAGTTCGGTGTCTAGCCTTTAGAGTTCGCATGATTTGTTCAGCAGACACACTAGATGAAGAATTACGCTTCATCCGTCAAACGCTTCGAGACAATGGTTATTTGGAAACGTTTACTGACAAGAATATTCTACTCTCTCCGGAAAAGGAATGTCACCAACTGCGATGGTTAAGTCAAGGAAAGACCGGCTGTATCTCAAGTGTGATCGTGGGTCATCTCGTAGACATCAGACATCAGATCAAACCGGAGAAAGCTTTCGATGCTGTTTATCGCTTCCCTCCCAATCGATCGAAGGAGGCCCGAATTTGAACACTGGCCATGGCCGAGGCGATCGTCATTCGCTTGCTTTGCTCAAATCCGGGAGCTCGAAAAGCGATGGATTTAAGCGCTTTAATTGCCTTGGCCTATCGTGAAAACCAAAACAGAACAAAACGTGTCCCTTGATCTAAATGGCGAAGGTTCACATCAAATGACACAGTAAACACTCCTTCAGTGGATTCATTGTTTTCACACACACACACACACACACACACACACACACACACACACACACACACATGCACACACCAACACATCCTCTTTCCTCCGACTCCGATTAATGAGCCAATGGCTGTCATTCTGTGAGCCTTTTTCCACTAAATGATATGTAAGAGCATGGCTAGGAATATTCGAAAACAATTGTTCACTCACCGACTCGTTTTCTCAATACTGTGATAGGAATAAATATGATTCTTGAAATATCCTCATTGTTCGCTGAAAAGATCAGTGAGACGAAGAATTCTTTTCGATTATTCATTCACAAGCTTTTGCATTAATATACGATCACAACGCGGCAACAAAAGTTATGACCCGACGATACGGCGCAATTGACCGTTGTTCAGATAATCAAATCAAATGATCGCGTTACGTAATCAGCTTGATCAAGTGATAACAACTCTGTAACTCCGTTCTCCTAGTCCGGTTTATTCTATGAATCATAACAATTTTTGTTACCTTGTAATCGTATATTAATTTAGAAACTTGGGAATCAATTATCGAAAATAATTCTCTGCTTCACTGGTATTTTCAATAAGTGTGGTTCTATTGGCTTGAGNCTTGAGAAGTAACTCACCGAAACGCACACTCGCCAACGATCTGTGTTCTGATTACGACTATGGGCTTATTATGCGATATGAATCTTGTCATGTCTTGTGATGTTTTCCACCCCATTTTATAATTGATTTTAACTGTGAAGTTAAACGTGAAGTGCAAGAGCCAGATTTTTCTAGACCTCTCTTCTCGATCGCTTCTGTTGTCCTTCACATCCTACGACAAGCTCCAAAAATAGGAGTGTAGGCACAGTTAGCCTAATGAAGATGATATGTGAATTCCCTTATATATGTATTAGAATGTATACATGTAGTTCACTTATCATTGTTACCCTTATTCCTAAATCTCACCTGGCAACTGAGTATTGAACCGCAGTTTGTACTTTAGTGTTCAATTAGCGTCAGTGACTGAGCGGTTACGATCAATCTCACACTGATCCGAATATCGTGTTTCCGAAACCTTTCAACGTCGCCCCGGTTTTCTTATTCAACGAGTCTCCAGGCAGCAAACGAACGGCTGCAGCCTACCTCGTCGCTGAAAGTAGAAATTATACAGTTGTATTCAATAAACAGAAAGTGGAATGGAATGATGAATAAAGTGTTCTAAAAATGCTACGAGACTGTATTTAATCATTTGAACACATTGACTGATTGGTGATTTCAAACACAAAACTGAGTGAACTTACCACAAGAACACTCCGTCGTAACATGACGGACCGTTATAATTAAGTCAAATCAAATCAACTTACGTGTCAATTGAGAAGATAAAAATGAGCCACCATTCTCAAATTCTGAACATTCTGGAAATTGAATATGAGCTACTTTAAATGGAAAGGAAGAGTACAGGTGTGATTCCAGTTGTCCTAAATAATTGTACTGTTTATTTTATAATAGATCAAATGTAGAATAATTAAATTGCGTTTTATGATGGACAACATTTCCGAAGGTCGTCGATTTTCGGAAACTGGGAACGAGGAGTTTGTCTATTTAGATAAAAACAGGATGCAGTCAGTCAGGTGATTGACCGAACTCAATGATCACCGTATAACGACTATGTTTTGGATCAACCGGCATAGCGAACTGAGCATTTGAAAGTCGATTGAGTTCAGTTGCTACACACATGAGCAGCCTGAACTAAGTGGAAATAGCTCTCTTATAGATGTGATTATTCCACGATGTGTCAGACAACGAAATGTTCTTTTGATTTGTTTATTTTTTCATCAATTCAATCGCACCAAACTGTGCAAGGTCGGATTAATCCTGAAAGCCGATACGCATTGACGGTAATTTGTGTCCAAAACTGAAATCATGAAATGTCAGGTGATAAATAGTCATTTGCTGTTGGCTTAACGCGATAATGGCCCAGTGGAAACGTCACCAAATTACCACCTCGGGCGACATGGGTTCGACCCCCACCACCACCGCCTGACTTTCCCCATGGCAGCCCTTTGATTGGCCCCTTCCTGGAGATTGTATCATTGTGTATTCAATAAAAAGGAAGTAAAATTAAAAAGAAAAAAGATCTCCTGACGAACGGAAATCTTTGAATTTCGTGTCACTGTTCCTATCTATTCATCAAAATTAACTTGGTGGTTCCTTTAGCAGCAGAACCACAATAATATTATTGATTCATATTTGCCGTATTGCAAACTTCGCTGCTGCATCCATTTACGCATTCTGTACAACGTGAATAACCTGACATAGAATTGATGGTAAACTGGGCGAAATGAGGAACTGGATAAAGAAAATTATTAAAACATATCGGTAAACAGATTATATGCTCCAAAAATCCAGAAAACTTCTCAAGCTGTTTGATCCATTAAGGTATGACAGTCAGATACCCGCGGGTCAAGTGAAAGAGGAAGATTCATGCATGAATTTCCTTAGAACGTTATTCTTCGACTACTGGTGGCAAGTAATTAGATGCGATTCGAGACCGCTCATCGATGTTTCTCATCAACAATTCTTTGTTTTACAGGCATCATCTGTCAGAGTTATTTTGCCCAATGTTTTGCTCCAACACAAGAATTACACTGGCAATAGTGTAATTGACAGCTAACTAAGAGAAAATACACCTATACTGGATAGCTGGAAGCATGTGTGTAGTGATCGCAGTCGGAGTAGTAGTAATACGCACGGAGCTCGGAACACGAATCACGCGATTAGAAATCACGCGATAGGAATCAAGGACCAGCTATCACGGACTGGAGCACGTAAGCACTGGACCGCAATGGCTTTAACACAATAATGGTAGTTCGTGTATTGGAAGAAATAATGGAAACCAAATAATATGTACAAAAGAAGATCATTGGCTATCCAGGCTTCCACCAATCGTATTGCAGTATTGCTTGCATAATTCTGCTTCTGTGTGGACTGCCCTGTCGCGGATTGGCTGGCAGGATCTACCTATGGCGTGTAGTCAAAAGCCATGACACAAATGCGCGTCATTTACGTCACCTTTGAAATTTGATTGATCGTAGGTGTCCAGAAACTGTAACGCTCCGCCCCAGGGTAAGCGTCATCTCGTAGGCTTGGATCACCATAACTTTATAAGATAAAATTGTTCTCGTGAGGGAACCTGAACTTTCTCCGTTTTATGGAATTCACTGCATAAATATCCCATAGGTTTCTATTATTTCATCCCAGGTTTTTCGCATCCAGTTATCTCTCTTTTGAAATTAAAAACTATATAACTAGGGAAACAAGAAGGATCGGAATACTTGCAAACTGTTCAAGGTAGCTTAGGCATCGAGCAAAGGGGGGTATGGACAGTTTTCCCTGTGCAGGGTGGATGGGCTCTTTATCAAAAATTCCTAAAAAATTGTTTCTGTGCAGTTGTGGGGTCTAAGATGGCTGATTCAAATTTCCAATTCACATTCAACAGTTCATAACTTGATAGCCCTGAGGAATTAGGATCAATTACCGGCACTGACCGCATTCAAGTTCATGCATTCATTCACTTCTGTTTCTGATGCGTTTTTGTAAGCTTTACGGTTTACCGATTATCTGTACGAACGAAAAAACACCATTCCAGTTGATTTAATCACGGTAGATTAGGGTCAATCTTCAAGGTCATCCGCATCCCGCCTGTAGATATCGAACGCGTACAGGTATTGACCAAACTCGTGAAAAATGCTGATTCGCATCACATTTATTCCTCTCAATGCTTCGTTTTTCCAGGCTCATTCACGGGATTGAATTTGATATTGCCCCACATTAGATGCAACATATCTGATGTAATACCCACTTATGTCTTTGTTTCTATTAGCCACACGCCATTGAAATTTACGATTTCGCGATTTCGACGATGGTTGCTGGTGCATCAGTTGTGAAATAATAAAGTCGCAGTAGAAAACGTAACTAGAATTTATTCATTAAATGACTCATTGACTTCGTACAGCTATTGTATTTTCATTTCGTCCATGTTCCATTTGTCCTTCTTCATTTTTGAGTACTGGAGGCAGTCGCTTTTGCACGAAGTCCACCAAGTTGAATGCCAAACGGAATTTGCCGGTTCTTCTAATACTGCACTCACCCTAACCAATGACGACCAATGTCGAGGCAACAGACTTATCGCTGTTTCTGATACGGTAAAAAGTTTTCGATTAAATTAAAATCACAACTGCTGCCCGGTATTGAATGAGTGCAACGTTGAACTTGAACTCTTCAGAGACTGCATAAATGTTAAAAAATAATATTTACTTAGGTCTAACAGTATTTTAATACCAACCTCAAGCGAGAAGATATACCAACCTTCATCTACGAAAAATATGACTTCTGCGAATTCATTTAAGAGGTAGCAGTTACCTCACTTATCAGTGCAAAACATTTTGCGATATCCAGATTGGTGTATGCAGGAGACCAATAACAAGGCACTCGGTATTTTCTTCCGTTATAACTCGTCAGGCGGGATGAATATTTATATCTTCAGACAGGTAAAACGAAATTTTATTAGAAAATTAGTTCAGTAGATCAGCTTTCACCGCATGCCGGATCCCTCGTTGGATACCAGTGAGATAAACCCATTAGCAAATGGACGGACGACGCGATTTTAATTTGTTGATAAAATCAATACATGCTCTGCTTTGCTGGGCGTTCAATAACCGCTTCGTATCACGTGGCCTCAGTTACATTTTAAATTGGGCGATCATTTTTCGAGCGAAAGCGTGAAGAAGAAGTGGCTAATCAGCCCGGAATATCCCTTATATTGGTTGTGTGCAA